TTGCAAGAAGTTTCGGCCAACTTGCCAAAACGGGAAGCTGAATCGGATTATGAAGGGTGCTGATGACATGTCATCTTCATGTGGAAGTGCAGTTTTCCCTGTCGGAGTGCACCTGTTCGTGCCGCGAACTGAAAAGCCATCTGAGACACTGTGCACATGGGCTGTGATGCGCAGCAATGGCCATTCGATGCAGCTCAGGCATCGAGTATGAGCAAGTCAGCAATGCCCCACTCACGCAAGACAGCCTTTCAGGGCCAGGCATGGAACTTCTGGTGTACCTGGGAGCTGCTCTTGAGTGATTCTAGTGTGGTCGCTGCCTGCCAGTCTCGGAGCGCGCAAGATCGTAGATAAACTTTCCATCACGCACAACACGATTGCGCGTGCTGTGCCAATCTTCGCTTGTGTAAACACATATACATAGATACCCACATACCTACCTACATCCATCCATGCATGAATGCATGCATGCAGACAGACAGACAGACAGGCACACAGACAGACAGACAGACAGACACGGACACACACGCACACAGAGAGACACACAGACATATATATATATATATACACACTCACACACACACGCACACACACACACACACACACACATGCACACACAACGACACATCATACGACATACGCACGCGCCCTTGCGAACCAACGAGATAAGGAATCAATGAAGGAACGAACTGGTTGACATGTGCCCAATATCCCTCCATCTACACACAGACCGTTACGTGTACGTATATGCATGCTACATCCATGTAAACACGTAGACATTGTAGTATGTGCGTAACACAACCAAACTTATGTCTATAAGACAGAACCAAGAGCGAGAGAGAGCGCCACGGCGCGCGAGCGAGAGCGAGAGTGACCCCCGTCGTGAAGCTATTCAACACCCCATTCTTTTATCAAGCTCCCATACACCCCCTGTCATTGAACTGCCCGGCCTTTTGAATTCGGGTAGGCGGTGGCCCGCAACTTATGTTGAACAAAGCTTCAACCTTGCAACTGAACCCCTAAAGCCCTAGACCTAGGGTTTTGTTTTAGGGGTTTCGGCTCTATTGAACCCTTGAAACCCTAAACCCTAAACCCTAAACCCTAAACCCTTGCGTCCGCCGAAGCCCGCTGAGGCCAGTGGCTTCCGCGCTCTGCTATGGGTGCCTTGGCCCAGCTTTCTGCGGCTTTTTGCAGAAGCCGCTCAGGTTCCTCGCAAAATCACAAAGTTGAGGGCGCAAGCACAGAGGCACTTTTTCGGATTTCCTGAAAGCGGATCGCAGGCGAGGTGGAGCGCCAAACCCGCAACCTTTGCCCACACAGAGGAGACTGGCGACCATCTCCTATAGCTTTCATAATGAAGCCGCTGTTGGTCTCAACCCGATCACAAAATCCTGCTAAAGCCCTGGCTTACAGCGGCAGAGAAAGTGTCGCGCGAAAGGTGCCCTCCAAGCTGAATGCGAGCAGCGCGCAGCAGGCACAACCGGAGAGGACCCTGAAGAAATCCTTGTTAGTACACGGGTCTAAGGGTTGAGAGTTCGGGGGGTCATTACTGCGCCGCCACGTTCCTGTGCGGTGACTTTTCCTTACTGTGCAGCCCGGACTCTACCTATAGTCTCCATTGCAGTTCTTTTTTTTTGGTCTAACCAAATATATATTAAGGATTTTATAAGGTATCCCCAAAAAGGAACTGCAATGGAGACTATAGGTACACGTTGTCCAAGAGCGAGATGCAGGCTAAGCCCCAAACACGGCTCGGCGCCAGGAAAACTTCGCTATCCGTTGGGCCATCCCAGAGATGCTTGGATCTTCCTTGAAGGTTTAGACGTAGGGCCTGTACGGGCCCAAATTAACTTAATCACCAATGCTATTTTGGGGGTTCTCGTACTATGGCTGTAGCATGATATGCCCCAAAAGCCTATTCTATTTACATTTTCAGGCCCCATATTAGCCGGGCGCGGGGTTAGAGACAGCAACATGTCCGATCACCGTGATAGCGAATGTAAGCATTTGCCAGAACACCTCGCAAAAATGAGACTGGCATCGGCAGCCTGGCATCGGCAGCAGCAGCAGAGACATCAGTCGACGATAAAGCAAATAACCCTAAACCCTAAACCCTAAAAAATAAAAATAAAGCAAATAAGCGTAACAAGATGCTATTCTCGTTTGATGCGACCTTGCTCCCCAAATGCCAGTGCCATCCGTGTTGCCTTCGTCTCTAGAATCTAAACCCGAAAGGATCTAACTCCAAATCCTAAGCCCCAAAGCAAAAACACCGTATCTAACTACTTCAAGAGATTTAACTCCAAATCCTGAGCCCCAAGGCAAAAACACCGTATCTACCCGCCTCTTCCACTACTTCCTCAGGCTGGGATGCCACGCAGCCGCTTCTCTCCTCGAAGCACAGCGAGTGAGTCCGCCCCGGTCTATTTGGGAGTTTCCGAACATGATTTTCGGGTCCTTATAACAAGGATCTTACTATTTGGGGTACTAGATTCGGGTCCCCTATGTTTGGGAACCCCCATTTGGCAGGAGCCAGCAGAAACCGCTGCCGGATCTGCGGCTCCAAGGTTTTGTCGATGGCAGAGAGCCATCTGCGATAACGAGCATGCAGGGACACCCCTCCAAAGGTGCAGAGCCTATGGCCACGGTACTTTCACGAAAAGGGATATCTTTGGCTTGCGCTCTTTAAACATCTGTCGGACCTTACATCGTCGCACCTTTGCCTATGCTTGAAGAGTTTCGTCTCAGCCTCTCTTCAACATCAACAACTTGCTTGCAGAGAGCTAAGCGCACATCTCTAATCTCTGCCTCGTCCACACTTGCATCCTCCATCCCGAGGTGTGGTGTCGCTACGTATCAACAAGAACAAGCAATCTCAACAAATTGGCCAAAATCCTGGGCACTTCCATGCGGGTTGTAATAGATGCGCATGTCCACGGACGATTTGCCGGAGGTCTCCAAGTGGGTTGTCACAAAAAGAAACACGAGACCCAATACAGACCCCAAATAAAAAGCCGTAGGATCCTGAGCGCGGGGCACCGCCCATGTGTGTCTCGTTCATGAGGATCCAGTGGATGATCCCCTTCCCGGGGCCTGAAACCGGTTCTGCAGGTACAATTCTGACTCAGAAGCCCTGGCCGGCCCTGGCTTTTATTATTCGGGTTCTGATTACGGCACTGTTATTGTGGGGAGTCCGGACGGGGAGTTCCTGAATCAGGTTCAAACTTTGGCTTCCTCACGTGAACGTACCGACCGCCTGGGAGGGTGTTTGCCCAGTGCCAAAGAGCTGCGCATTGAACCCAACGACTGGGGCTTGGCAATGTCGGAGCTCATGCTGTGCATATGGTGTGAGTATATCCGGTGGCGCATATACACTCTTGAGGCCCTATATGGGAGTTTCCGAAAATAAGGGGTACCTTACTTTGTGGTCCTTATAATAAGGATCCTACTATTTAGGGTACCATATTAGGGTCCCATATGTTGTCTGAAGACCAGCCCGTCGAACGGGAATGCTTTCTCTGCTACAGGGGCACTGAAGCGTGCATGTACCTCTGTGATTGTGTGGTCGCTTGCGGAGCAAATCACCAAACGGCAGGCTGAAAACCACAGGTTTGCTGGGCCCTGAAAGCTCAGCGGGAGCGTGGGAACCATATACAATCGAAGGAGCGTTGCAAGGGTAGGGTGTTGGAAGGGGCAGAATCAGAGAGTGATTCGCTCCAGGGAAATCCGGAGGTACACCTGCTTCCAGGCATGACGGCGAAGTGGCAAGCGCAAAGATGATATTTCTACATACTGCAATGCTTCAACTTGCATGTCTTCGGTTTAGTTGTACTACCACGCTCCGACCACACCTGTGCTGGTAGCCTCATCTTTCAGTGAAAGAGCACACTCTGCTGTGACATGTTTCTATCCGGCCTCGTGTCAAAGCCACGCATGCTGTCATGGTGTAGGTTGTACTGGTGGTGGTGCTGGCGGTAGTGACAGCTGTCCCGGTCGCAGGCTGTACCAAATACCAAGTCAGAAGCGAGAAGTACCCAGGCAGTTGTCTTTCTCATTAACAACATTGGCTATCAAGCTAGCAGGTGAGATCAAGCCCTGATGCCTGCTGCAGAGACACGGCAAAAGCCAGCTTCAGATATGCCCCTCCATTGACGAGATAAAGCCTTAATTAACTCTCTTTGGCATAGAACTTTCTGCCACCACTCAACAGAACAAGCATGCCAGCTGGGCTGCAAAAACGCCTTCTCTGAGCCAGACACTTCGCCTTAAACCGCCTTTCTTGTTTCATTTTGTCGACAGCCACATGATGGCAGCCAAAGCAGCAAAGAAGTCATCCTCCGGAGCTCACGGAGCGCCGATGAAGCATCCGGGTTGCGATTGTTTGTACAGGTTTGCGTAGTGAGGTATAAGCGAGTATCGCAGGTACGATAAGCCATTATTAGGCGGGGACACGATCGTCTGCAGGGTTGCAGTACCGACTAAGTAGAAGTGAAGTAGAAGTATTAAACAGTAGTTCCTGTGATGTAGGCAGGCTTTCTTCGTCAGAAAGCCCCGGGCCTACAGACCTATCTGGATGCCTCTCGTGTTTGCTACTATGGCTGCAACCTTAGCGCTGAGGCAAATTGAGCAGAGCCTTGCCGAACAACAGCTTTCGTTGGACAGTGCGTCATTTAGGGTTCAGAGTTGTAGGGTTTAGGGTTTGGGGTTTAGGATAATGTGTAGGATAATAGGGTAATCGGGGGGGGGGGGGGTCATGTTTCATGGGCATTTACGCCGACGGTTCTTCATTCTAAAGAGGCCGCTCTCAACTTTCGAGCGAAATCACAGCGCAAGCACGGGCAACAAAGTCAGATGTCCTTTATGGGGGTTTCCGAAAATAGGGGAGCCCAATATAGTACCCGAAATTAATAGCAGCATCCATATTATAAGGACCCCCAAATACGGCACCTTAATTTTTGGAAACCCCCAATATGATTGCGATACGGCCTGTATGGGTATGGAAAGCGTACGATACGGTAAGTAGAGGGTTACGATCTGCCATACTGCTTTCAGCTTGACATGCTTGGCGAGAAGATCCGCCCTCAGTTGTGGAGCAGCCGTTTGCTTGGAAGATGCAGAAAAGAAGCCGTATCCCGATGGTTACACCAGTCATGTACTAAAGCACAGTACAGGATTACATTCAGAGCTGCTGGCCGCTAGCCTTTTGCGGCTGGCAGCTGCAATCACACTCCCGACCCTGCTCCTCCAGGTAATCAAAGCCAGCACCTGCCCAGCTTCGAAGTAATCCAAGTATCTGAATCTTAAACCCTGAGCAAAAAGCTGCTTTGCGGTATGATGCGCTGACTCCGCCCGGCTGCAGAAAAAGTCTCCTTCGTTGCCTAGTCTGCGCCAGGCCGGCTCAGAGTAGGTTCCTGTACACAAAGGAGCTCCGAAACAGAGGAAACCCCAATAGTCGCCACACAACTATATCAGGCAGCATGCATAGGTACACAACATGTGTACACACACACATATACATATATATATATACACACACACATAAACATAAACATAAACATAAATACATACACATACACCCGCACACGCATGCGTTCATACATGCCGTGCCATGCCACGCCATGGCATGCATACATACAACAGGGCATTGAGGTGGATGAAGCCTTTGTACGTGTATATTACGAAATGAAGCTACATGCATATATATATATATATATATATATAATTATGGAAATATACATGTGTATAACACGATTCGAGCTCAAGCCCGAAACAGATCGAGCCCTCCCGACGGCCAAGAAGCATCCACAAGCCGCGTAGCTGAGGCCTTTACCCTGGAACAGGCTCGGAGCTCGGTGTGCTTTGGGTGGGGGGTTGCTTCACATGGGGCTCCCCTAAACCCTAAACCCCTAAACCCTAAAAAAAGAGTGTTCTGGCTTTGGGGGCGGTTACTTTATGGGGCTCCCGGGTGTAGGCTTCAGGGCTGGAAAACGGCAGAGGAGGCAATGCTGGCAGTCATCAAGTCCGGTTTCAAAAGGGTTTAGGGCGTAAAAAAGGGTCGAAGGAGAGGTTGCAAAAAAAAAAGCTTAGGGGCTGTAAGGCGTTGGGGCTTAGTTAGGTCTGGGCTGTAAGGCGTTGGGGCTTAGGTCTTCCGGCTTGCGGGTTTGAAAGCTCCAGGGCTTTTAGGGTGCTCTATTCTCATACCGGCTACTTCAAGACTTAAGTGCCACTGCCTTAGCAGATTTACAAATCCGCCCACTCTGCTTTGGCTTCAGCCGTCAAATTGAGGACTTGCTCGTGGCTTAGGGTTTTAGGGTTTGGGTGTTTAGCTTCTTGGGGATTATCGGGTAGGGCGTTCGTGTGTTGGCGATGCTTTTTGTCGGCTGTCGGCTATCGCCTCGTATGCCGCGCTTTTTCGTAGGCTAGAGAAAAACAGAATCGAAGGCTTCGTGGTGAGTTCATCGGGCACTGGCTCCTCGGGCTTGATAGCTTTGAAACCCAAAACGAAGCCCTAAACCCAGCTTTATTGCGTTGTCGGTGCGCAGCTGGGGAACGGATGTCCGAGGCCGCAAAGACTGTCCTAGTCGAAGTGCCTGGCCTCAGCTCTGACCTTAAGAGCAATGGGTTGCTGTTTCTCAAACCGCACATGAGCCTCATAGTACCCAGAAACCCTCATAATCCTATATATATATATA